AAAAAAAAAATAAAATAAAATAAAAAATAAAAAATAAAAATAAAAGTAGTAAGCCAAGAGATCCCTTTCCCCCTTCCTTCTTCCTTCCTCCCTCCCTCCCACCCTCATTTCCTTCCTTTCTTCCATTGTGGGGGTGTGGTGGATGGAGACAGAGAAAGGTAGACCAGGAACTGAAGAGAATACACTGATTTCAAGAGAGCATATCTGACAGTGTGCAGACCGCTGGAGTCATATAATAACATTTGAAATATATGCTTTAATGTCAAGCATGCTCTTTATGAACTTGTAGCTATTTCTCATTACTAATCAAAAATAATATATGCAAACTTGCTGACCTATAGGATATCTCAAAATCTCTTAAGACTAAAATACAATCAAATCTGGAATAGTAAATTTTCTCTGTTATTTTGTTGTTGTTGTTGTTGAGATAGAGTTCTACCCTATACCCTGAGCTGAGTGCAATGGCATCGTAGCTCAATGCAACCTCAGGCTCAAGCTGTGGGCGTCCTGCTGCCTCAGCCTCCAAAGTCACTGGGATTGCAGGTGCTTGCCATGGCACCCAGCTGGGTTTTTCAATTTTTTTTCATGAGTTGGGGTCTCACTCTCACTCAGACAAGCCTCAAACTCCTGAGCTCAAGCAATCCTCCCGCCTCAGCCTCCCAGTGTTGGAAACAGGCATGAGCCACCACACCAGCAGTAAATTTTCTCTATTAAAGAAAACATAATAGTATTTTCTCTTAGAGTCAAATTGACTTAAAGTTAAAGAAATCTGTATTATGTTTGAAAACAGGTGTTTCAAAATGAAATGCAAAAGGCTTAGGCATTAAGTATAAAGAATTAAAACAGAATTTTTCATTTCATATTTCCTAAAAACAAGAGATTCAGGAACATAATTCTAAAAATTATAAATTGATCTTATGAAGGCTATATAAGGACACATTTATATAAAACTTACTTTATGTCTGCGCAGTATAGCCATGTTATAGACTCATAAACCTAACATCAACTTGCTGATTATTTTCACGGATATAAGACCTACTTCAACACTGCACTAAAAGAGATAACAGAACTTTAAAAGTACCCAACGCTTTATTTCTATTTCTAATAACTAGAAAATTGATAACTATACAGCTAATGAGTAAAATATTTAATTCAGCTAGCAATTCCTAACCTACAATTTAAATTCCATAAAAAATAAAAAAACTTAGGACCCTACAAATAGCCTTACACAGGACAGGGATTCCTAAATAACTGTTTAATAAGCAAAGTATGACTTTGCAAAATAACATGTATTATAAATCCATATGCCTGCAAGTAAAGAATACAAACATACATCAAAAGAATTAGAACTAACTCTTGCCTCTCAGTGTTCCATTATCAGGATATATTTATGGCAGCCTATAAAATGACTGTACAACCTTATATTTATAACTATAATTCAAATGATTAAGACGAAAGGACAAAAGAGAATATCTTAAAAAATTAAGCATAAAATTAGCCAATCAAGAACATATATAACAATAATAGCAAACTGAGATATACATGGCAGTAATCAGTATTTTACCCAAAAGAAGGATCACAACTCCCTTTAATAGTTTATAGGAATGTTTCAAGTATAACTATAAATTAGATGGAAGGTCTTTCAAATTCTTTATTAGGTTAGGATCTTACTATTGTTCTTGTATTTACCAAATGTTTGGCTTCTGTGACTTATACATCTTTTTTCTTTTTTTTTTTTTTTGAGACAGAGCCTCAAGCTGTCCCCTAGGGTAGAGTGCTGTGGCATCACAGCTCGTAGCAACCTCCAACTCCTGGGCTCAAGTGAGTCTCCTGCCACAGCCTCCAAAGTAGCTGGGACCACAGGTGCCCACCACAATGCCCAGCTATTTTTTGGTTGCAGCCATCATTGTTTGGTGGGCCCGGGCTGGAAACGAACCCACCATCTTAGGTGTATGTGGCTGGCGCCTTAGCCGCTTGAGCCACAGGCACTGAGCCTGTGACTTATACATCTAATAATGACCATGTATTTTTAAAATTTTTAACTACATATATCAGTTAAATACTACCAGTGAATTTTTCTAATAATGTCAGTGTATCTCAACTGAACTATAAGTAGATACATTCAAAGTTTTTTATTGAAAATTAAATCCGTAAGAAATTTCTACATTTTTAAAAGGGAAGATAATTCTGAAGGGCCAAAACCATTTTACACGTTAGTCAAGAATTAATCAGTACAAGAAAAGTCCTTACTACTTTCCTCTTTTCTTTAAGCTTTAATGAATGTTCCAAATTGTGAAGTGAGTCATTATTTTTAAAATGAAGAAAATGATTATATTTCAAATATTCAAATCTGCTAAATGCAAAGAAGGAAGAAAAAAGGTCTACTTAACAATATGGAATACACTTAATTGTTTCTCCCCAAGTCCCAGCTAAGAAGTCACCTTTTCCAGAGAATGTTCCCTGACATGCTCCTTTGACCACAGAGCTAATTATGTGGTATCGCTGAACTCTGTACATTCTTTAATTATATTCTTTCATATCAAATTATAATTTATTCTTTACCAGAAAGGTAAGGATCATGTCTTATTTGTCTCCAAATTATGAATGCCTAATGATTGCTGAAAAGTAACACATAACTTAAAACTATAATTATTTTTATAAACTGGCCCTGATATAAAGAAATAAACAAAAATAATGCTGAAGATTGAAATTAAAAATTCAAACATATCATTTACTCAGTTAAAGGATAAAAGTTAATAACAAACTTACAATGATAAAAATAAAAATCTTGATGTTCCTTTGAGACAGAAAGCTATAGCTTCTCTAAGAGGAGTGCTCTATATTTTTAAATATAAATTAGCCTAGCGCTGATTAAAATACACTGTACTCAAATCACAGAGAAATCAGGGATAAATATGGAAGGCTTTCTAATGTTCATAAACAGCAAAAAGTAATCAATAAACTTAAAAATGTATTGATATTATAATTTACTAACACCAATGCCATAAAGAATCATAAAACGTTAACAACCCCTGATTTTTAACACAATCAATAAAGCTGCTCATGTTCTGCTCCCTAACTCTACATGCAGTGTGTTCCCTTATTTCTATCTCATTTTTTAAACTTAAAAAAGTATAAACATTCAAAGTATAAATGTTTCCTGAATTCTTTATGTGCTTTCTACTCTCTATATAAATAAGGTGGTCTCTTTTGTGCTAATGAAAATGCCTTTACTGTCCAGCACTTATCCTAATGTGATAAGATTTGTTACATATGTATATACCTCCCCGTTGAGATCAATGGCACACATTTTTCATAGCTTTACCCTTGCAAAACATATGACTTGCAGTAACTCAATAAAATGATCACTGAATGAACTAATAAATGTTAGTCAAAATAAATATGAGGTCTGAAAATTAACTTTGCAAACTCATCCTATAAAAAGTGCTATATATGTCACTGCTGAACATCATATGATCATCACTGAAGCTCTCCCCTTGGGAAGCTATGGACTGACACCAATGCTTAGTCCACCCTTCAAAGCAACTTTGAACTCTTTTTTCTGGAATAGCCATCAAAGATATCTTCATATTACCCTAGAGGTCCTGAATGTCATCAAAATGTCTTCCTTGCTATATTTCCTTTATCTTCAGGCAAAAAAAAAAAGTCATTGAGGCCCAGATTAGGTGAGTAGGGAGGATATTCCAATACAGTTCTTTATTTACTGGCTAAAAACTCCTTCACAAACAGTGCCAAGTGAGCTGGTACACTGTCACGATGCAAGACATGAATTATTGGTGAAAAGTTCAGGTCATTTTCCTCTAAGTTTTTCAGTCTTTTAGCACTTCTAAATAGTAAACTTGGTTAACTGTTTTCCCAGCTGGTACAAATTTATAATAAATAATCCCTCTGATATCAAAAAAGGTGAGCACCATCACTTTGACTCTTCATACAACTGACAGAACCTTATTCTCCTTGGAGAGTTGTCTGACTTCCAACCCTGCACTTGGATGCTTTGTTTCAGGGTCACACTGGTGCACCTATACTTCATCACCAGAGATAACACAGCCCGAACCATCATCTTGCCTCTCCAAAGGACTCAGCAAATTCGGTTCTCCTTTGCTTTTGTTCATCAATGAGCTCTTTCAGGACCATTTTTACACACACCTTTCTCATGCCACGATTTTTAGTTAAGATTTTTCTAACTGTTTCTCGATCAATGTTTATTTGTTCTCTTATGCTTCTCATAATCAACCAACAATTCTGATGCACAATTTGACAAATTTTTGCAAAGTTTTCATCAGTTCTGCTCATTACTGGACGCCCTGACTTCTCTTCATCGTGACACTTTCTCTCCCCTCAGAAAATGTTTAATCCATTTGTACACTGCTATTTTCTTCATGGCATTATCCCCATAAACTTGGACTAATATGTCCCTGATTTCACTTCTACTCCTGCCAAGTTTAACAATAAATTTAATATTTGTTTACGGCTCTAATTCAAACTCCAACATTCTTGCAACAGCACACAAAAACATGCTACAATAATGAATGCCACTCAGCAAGAAACTGTCACACACTGACATAAACACAGCTGTGAGACACTGACATACCATGGTTATGAAATTTTACTGAGCTGTTATGTACGGTGCTGCCAAAGTAAGCTCACAGTGGCAAGTTCGCACACTTAATTGTCAGACCTTTAATAGTGTGTTTGCATTTATATCTGAATTCTGCAAAATTTGTTCTCTACATCCAGAAGGTCAGGTCTTAAAAGAATCTATGAGTAAGAAATTTAACTAACAAAGATCTAAAATAGATTATAAACAGCAGTACAGTTTATGCCTTAATCTTCTCTCCATCCTGAAAATGGCAGGTAACTAAGGGTTTGCTGCAGAGGTTAAAAATTTAAAGAACTAAGGTAATTGATAATACTGCCCAATAAATTACAGGTGCTCCTTGTCATAAACATAAAGACTTCTAGGTTCTTTAAGGCTTTATGTACTGATTCAAAAAAGGAACTTTTTTACTGGGGGAAGAGAAGCATGTTCTTGCCCAATCCTAGAATAAATAAAAATCTGTCCAGAGCAGTTTAATCATCCACCTGGATGAGGCTAGAGATTCTATTTCCATGGCTGCACTCTACTGATGAAAGAACTGATTATCTCATTTAAAGGAGCGCACACTATCCTTTGGCAACCAGACTTGATGTTTCCAAAGACTGTTACACGAAACCATTTGTTTCTGGGCACAAAAACAAGGTTTTATTCCTTTTCCAGTCCTCAGCATCTAGCTCAGAGCCCAAAATGTGACAGAGGCTCAACAAATGCTTACTGAATAAAATCCTACCTGCACAGCTTCATCCCGTGCCTGCTTTTCTTCCTGTCTCCTCTGACGCTCTTCCTGTAGCTCATTAAGCCTTTGCTCATATTCCTTCAATTTCGACAAAACATCATGGCGTTTATTCTGAGCTTCAAGGGTATTAATGAAAGCAATCTCATTTACCTTTAATAAAAAACAAAGTGAGGTTCAAATCAACTTAATTCTAAGATATATCATAAAAATAAGAAATCTACCATTATATCATTATACAATAACATAAATCAGTGGCAAGGCAAAGAACAGAAAACTGGAATGATTTATGAGTCTTTTCTTTCAAGATTTAACCCAGATTGAGTAATAGCCCAGCGAATATAACAAATTCATAGGCCGTAGTAAGAAGTGACTTAGAGATCGGCCACTTGCAGTTTTTGGCCGGGGCTGGGTTTGAACCTGCCACCTCTGGTATATGGGGCTAGTGCCCTACCCTTTTGAGCCATAGGCGCCACCCCCACTGAATATATTTTTAAGTCAAGAAACAATTTAACATTCTTATAGAGATCATCTTATAAAGTTCTAATACTACTGCAATTTGCAACTATACAAATTACATAAATGTTTATTAATAATAAGGTATATGCATGGTATTCTAATGAGTTTGAAAGAATAAAACAAAGTAAACAAGTCATTTTTCTTTGACATATTGAATGGGTGACAATTAGGAACAAGGAACTAAATGCTACACTGCATTCTCCACATGTCTTGATTCTGAACAGCCACTTAGCTAGAGAAAATATAGATTTTATAAGTAAAATACAGCCAATGAGGAAGCTCAAAAAAACCTGCTGTGATCAAATCTCTCATTCGTGAAAGCCAGAGGCAGAATATACTACAGTGAAAATGGCAGAGTAGATTGGAAAGTGAACCCAAGAACTGACGCTCTTTGACAGAGCAAAGACTCTAAGAATCCATGATGAACTGAATAAAACCTATCTCGGTATATTTTATAAATCTTAGACAAGTAATTCTGAACTCTCTCAATCTCCATGAGGCCACTTTTATAGTACTTTTATAAATAGATGAATCACATAACCGTCTCTCAAACTGGACTAAAAGTAAGGAAAATACAAGACAAATAAGTAAATTCAAGGAAAATTTATTCAGATTATATCAGGACCTGTATGTTAAGCATAATCAAATGAAAGAAAAAGCAATACGACCTAATGCATTAAGCAAAATAAATAAAATTCAGAGGGAGCAGAGTATACAAAAGACAGATTTTTCTAAAAACCCAATCTAGCCAGGCATACTGGTTCATGCCTATAATTCTAGCATTCCAGGAGGCCAAGGAGACTGAATTGCTTTAACTCAGGAGTTTGACACCAGTCTGAGCAAGAGCAAGACCCCATCTCTAAAAAAAATAGCCGAGCATTGTAGTAGGCACCTATAGTCCCTGATACTCAGGAGGCAAGAGGATTGCTTAAGCAGAGTTCGAGGTTGCTGCGAGCTATGGCACCACAGCATTCTACCAAGGGTGACAAAGTGAGACTCTCTCAAAAAAAAAAAAAAAAAGCCAATCTAGAAGGAAACATAACTTAGAAAAAGCAGAAAATGCCCTAGGCAATTTAGTAACATTGAAGAATTTAACAATACCATGGATTTAAAGGAGTAAAGGATAGATGTAAGACTTCAGTACCTTTGCCCTTTTCCACAGGGGATACATTCTAAGATCTATGGATTCTTGAAATCATAGATAGTACTGAAACCTAAGCAATCAGTCCTCCATATACGTGGGCTCTTTATCCATAGGTTCAAGCAACCACAGATCAAAAATAATTTAATGGGTGGTCATATATGTAATGAACATGTACGATCAAAGATATTAAGAGTTTAGAGGCTCGGCACTTGTGGCTCAAGCGGCTAAGGCGCCAGCCACATACACCTAAGGTGGCGGGCTCGAATCCCCAGCCGGGGCCACCAAACAACAATGATGGCTGGGCTCCAATCCCCAGCCCGGGCCACCAAACAACAATGATGGCTGCAACCAAAAAAATGGCCAGGCGTTGTGGCGGGCGCCTGTAGTCTCAGCTACTTGGGAGGCTGAGGCAGAAGACTCGCTTGAGTCCAAGAGTTGGAGGTTGCTGTGAGCTGTGAGGCCATGGCACTCTACCCAGGGGCTCAGCTTGAGGCTCCGTCTCAAAAAAAAAAGAGTTTAGAGTTCCAGAATAAACACTGCGATAAAGAGAACCACACAAAGTTTTTGGCTTCCCAATGCCCAATGAGTATAAAATTATTACATTAATAATCTCTTAAGTATGCAACAGTGTTATGTCTTTTAAAGATGTGCATACTTTAATAAAAAATGTATTGCTAAAAAATGCTAACAATCATCTGAGTCTCAGTGAGTCATAATGATTTTGCCAATGGAGGGTCTTGCCTTTATGCTGAAATCTGCTGACTGATCAATAATGGTTGCTGTGGTTAGGGTGGCTGTGGCAATTTCTTAAAATAAGACAGGAATGAAATTTGTTGCATCAAATGACTTTTCCTTTCACAAAAGGAATCATGTAACATGTAATGTTGACTGACAGTATTTTAATCACAATAGAACTTTTTTTCAAAATTGGAATCAATCCTGTCAAACCCTGTTGCTGCTTTATCAACTAAGTTTATGCAATATTCTAAACGCTTATTGTAATCTCAAAAATGTTAATAGTATCTTCACCAAGAGCAAATTCCATCTCAAGTAACCACTTCCTTTGCCCATCCATAAGAAGCAACTTCTCATCCATTTGAAGTTTTGTCATGCAATTACAGCAATTCAGTCACATATTCAGGCTCTACTTCTAATTCTCTATTTCCACCACATCTATAGTTACATCTTCAACTGAACACTTGGGCCCCTGAAAATCATCAGTGAGAACTGGAATCAACTTCTTCCAAACTTGGTATTTTGACCTCCTCCCATGAATTAGAAATGTTATTAATGGCATCTAGAATGTGAATCCTTTCCAAAAGCGTTGATTTACTTTATATAGACCCATCAGAATAATCACTACCTATGTCATCTATAGCCTTATGAAATATATTTCTAAAATAAGTAATACTTTAAAGTCAGAATTACTCCTTGATCCATGGGCTATAGAAATGAATGCTGGGTTAACAGGCATGAAAGCACATTAATCTCCTTATACATCTCCATCAGAGCTCCTGGGTAACCAGATGCATTGCCAGTTGTCAAATATTTTGAAAGGTGTCTTTTGTATTGAGCAGGTGGTCTCAACAGTATGCTTAAAACATTGAGTAAACCATGCTATAAACAGATTTCCTGTCATTCAGGCTTTGTTGGTCCATCTATAGAGCATAGAAAGAATAGATTTACCATTACTGTTAAGGGTCCTAGGATTTCAGATGATTAATGAACACTGGCATCAACTTAAAGTCAATGGTTGCATTATTGCCTAACAAGAGAGTCAGTGTTTTGAAGCTTTGAGGCCAGGCAGTGATTACTATCTAGCTAGAAAAGTCCTAGATAGCTAGAAAAGTCCTAGTCCAAAGTCATCTACATTGAAAAATCTTGATTAATTACCTTAGCTAGATCGTCCAGATAACTTGCTGCAGCTTCTACAGCAGCACTTGCTGTCTCAGCTTGCGTGCTTAGTTTAGGAGACAGATTCTGTCATTATGTTTCATGAACCAACCTCTGCTAGCTTCTCACTTTTCTTGGGCTACCTCCTGAACTCTCTCAGCCTTCACAGAACTGAAGAGAGGGACAGTGTCTTGCCCTGGATTAGGATTTGGCTTAAGGGAATGTTATGACTGGGCAAATCTGGGCCACCAAAACTTTGCCCCTATCAGCAATAAGGTTGTTTTCCTTTCTTATCACTTGTGTGTGCACTGGAGTAACACTTTTCATATTCTTCGAGGACTTTTCCTTTTCCTTCATTATGTGGCTGTTTGGTGCGAGGGGCCCAGCTTTCAGGTAATCTTGGCTTTCAATATACCTTTTTCACTAAACCTTAATCATTTCTAGCTTTTGATTTGTGAGAGGTATATATGATTCTTTCTTTCACTTGAATAGAAGCCTCTATAGCATTATCAATTGGTCTAATTTCAATATTGTTATTCTCAGGGAATAAGGAGGGCTGAGAAGGAGGGGTCAGAAGAATGGCTGGGTCAGTAGAGCAGTCAGAACACAAAAAATACTAAGTTCACTGTCTTATATGAGAATGGTTTGCAGTGTCTTAAAACAATTAAAATAGTAACATCAAAGATCATGGACCATAGATCATCACGATAAATATAAATTATAAATTAAAAGTTTGAAATTGTTACAAGAATAACCAAAATATAACACAGACACACAGGTGAGTACATACTGTTGAAAAAATGGTGCCAATCAAATTTGTTCGACACAAAGTTGCCACAAACCTTCCATTTATAAAAAGCACAGTTATCTGTGAGGCAAAGCAAAGTGAAGCACAATAAAAGGAGATCTACCTATACAGACCTTTTTGCTTCTAACTATACCCTAAACATATACAGTATAGCTACTGCATAACATTCACATTATATTTGAAACTTTAAGTAACCTAAAGATAATTTAAAGTATACAGGACAATGTACATAGTTTATATGCAAATATTATACCATTTTATATAAGGGACTTGAGGATCCATGAACTGTGGTATCTGCAGAAGGTCCTGGAACCAAACCCCACAGATATTGATGTATAAGTATACATACATTGCACAGATTTTTTTTATTTCTTCACAATTTCACAGATAGAAGACTCATTCTTACCATAGATCTTAGCAAATTCAACACTTCTTTTCTTTCCTTATTAAATAAGAACTTACACCACAAAGAAAGCATGATATAGCTTCTCTTTGGCATATCCAAATTGCTAAGCACCATACGTCTTCTTCCACTTTCAGGTCACTTTTATTTTTTCCTGCAGTTTTTCAAAGGGGCCAGGTTTGAACCTGCCACCTCTGGTATATGGGGCTGGAGCCTTACTCTTTTGAGCCACAGGCACCGCCACGCTTTCAGGACACTTTTAAGTAAAGTAAGGGTTATGTGAACACAAACCCTGTGATACAATGCTTACCCGATAACCAAAACGGATACCAGCAAACTAAGGGGAGGTAGTGTATACATATAGCTTGGATATGCTGGAAAAAGGA